GAAAGTTGTTGTTGGCTTAGAGCAGTGATAGCCAAACTTTGGCCCTCCAGCTGGTGTGGAACTAAAAGTCCCAAAAGACACAGCAAGATTCTGACAGCTGTAAGCATGACTTCCAGAGGCAAAGAGATGATGGGATTTGTAGTTTCACCACAGCTGGAGGGCTTCAGTTTGGCTATCCCTGGCTTAGTCTGGCTGGCTCCTTTGTCCTATATTAACCGCCTCCCGGCCGGCCGTTGTAAGAGAATGGCCGGCCGGGAGCTTCCTGGATGTAACAGGCCGTGTATATACACGTCCTGTTAGCCCCGCCCACTTGCGGCGAGCAGGAAACTACCAAAATGCAAAAACTGGCAGCGATGCCTGTTTACATTCAAGCGATCCGCCGGCTACAGAGCCGGCGGATCGCTTGTATGGGGTGCCGATCGGATTGGCCCCCCTTCCCGTTGGTCCCGGGCTCCGCTGTGCCCGGTGCGAGCCCGGGACCAGCATGGGGGCTCCCTGACGGGATCAGAGGGAGATTGCTACACGATCTCCCTCCGATCCCCTCTCCGGTGTCAGAATGCGGAATTGATGTACATTACATCACTTTCGCATTCTTGTGTCACTCTCCAGCTTTAAAAGCTGGAGAGAATCTGATGAAACAGATCTCTGCTTCATCAGCTTCTTTGGGGGTCCCTAGGAAACATAAGGGGTCTTGGAGACTCCTGATGTGCAAAAATTGAAAAAAGGGCCTCAGTCATGAAGGGGTTAAAGAGGACCTGTCGCATCTCTTTGCTATCACATAGGGTGGCTTCTTAGACCCCTATGTGATAACAATAAAGTTTAAGTTGCAAAAAAAAAAAATTAGTTACGCATGAAAAAGAATACAAAAACACTTTTTTTTTTAAAAAGTCCCCACCCATACATACACGTGTGCAAACATGCGTTGGGTGCGCATACGTGCGAAAACTACGATTGCGCCCTTTACGCGGCACATGTTACATATCGCCACGAACGTCGGAGCGAGTGCAATAATTGTAGGGCCATCGATCACTGATGACACTAAATTGATGAGCGGTTAAAAGCTTTTAAAGCGTCGCCTACGGTCAGTTTTGGGTATGGTAGCTTTTTTTGCAATTTCCCGGGTGCGTTCCATTTTAAAGCTCGACATGTTTGGAGAAAACCTGTAGTCTTGCCTCCTGTAGATGTTTTACCGCTAGCACTGTG